AAAATTCTAAGAGCCCTGCTATATAAAACAAATAACTCCAGAAGTATTCGCGGTGAGGGAGAAGGGGGAGGGGCACTATATCAGGCCTTCCTTTACCCCTCCAGAGACTCCAAAGTCAAACTCTGGGGTCCCATGGGACATTTACAACATCACTGTTATACTCATTATCACCACCATAGTAACGCAGAGAACCTGCACGGTTTGATGGATTCCTCCTTGCCCAACAGGCCAGAAGAAGACAGATCCTAAAATAGCAACAAATATTCTCTCTGGGTGGTGACGGGTGGTGAGATTATCAAGGGATTTTTTCTTTAGTAACTATATTTTGTAGTAAATTTTCTTATAAAGAGAAAAAAATGTGGGTTTTTTTAATGTTCAAAAAATATTACAGACTCTACCACTAAACAACCCAAAAGGTTACTCCAAGCTATCACCTTATTGGCTCCAGAGTACAACAGGATAATCAACAAGAAATGATACATCCCCCATGTGCACCAGAAAAGAAACAAGGGCAGTGAGATGGAACCGCCATGTCTGACCTAAGAAGACAGGCCCCGAACAAAAGGAGAACACCCAACAGCAGAGGCTGCATCACACGCAGTCTTTTATCTTATCCTTATCCCGCCCTGGAACCTAAGACTGTAAGACTGGAATTCCTTCTTCTTGAACAGAGAACCAGGAGCAAGCGATGAAAGACATGGGTTTTTGTCCCCTCAACAGCAGGCAAACAGTAAAACGTAACTGTTCTCGTCCCCAATGTCACGAAACACTGTAGGCTGATAAAACTACCTCCATTTTTAAGGATGAGAAAGCTGAAGTACAGGAAAGCAAAGTAACTTGCCTAGTGTCACAGAGCTATAGAGTAGCAGGCACAAGACGAGCACTGCAGTTTGTCTGCTCCAGAGCCAGGATTCCTTCTACCAAGCTATCTATCTCCCTTCTCTAAAAAATAGCCTCCTATGTTGGGAGCTGTGCTAAGTTCCAACTGCAGCATTCTCAAATCACTGTGGCCCACTACACATATTGAAAGTAAGGAAAGAAAATAGGTAGCTGTCAAGAAGTTGTATTAATTATTGCCTAGCCCCATCTGCTCTGGAGTTAGGAAGGAGGCACTGAAACTTGATGCACATGATCCTCGCTGTCATTCCAAGCAATCAGTCCTCCCCTTGAAAAAAGCTTCTCACTAACACTCTCTCTAGCTGAGAGCCTGCAAATGGCATTCCCAAGAAAAGCTGTCAGTCCACTACATGGGGCCTCAACATTCCAGTTATGTTAGCTTTTTAACACTAAAAATAAAGAAGAATTTGTTTCAACCTAAAAATGGCAGCTGCTAAGTTAATGTCACTACAGCATGGTGACTAAAGTACTGCTTTGCAGTTACCCAGACCTAGGCTCATAAGCCAGTTTTGCCACTTAAATAAATATGTAACCCTAGGCAAGTCAACTCAATTCTCTAACTTCATATACAAAAAAGGCATGACAGACAACTTCTCCATAAAGGATCAAATAAGAGAACCTTGTGCCTGGAGCCCAACACACAGAAAGAAGGTGGAAAAATAAGTGATAAATACTATTATTAACATTAATATTACTCCTGTGCCAGAGAAGTCTTGGAATCTTCGTAAATACTCTACATGGTCTGAACTCTTGATTATCTGATGTAACAATCAACTGATTGAATCTGGTTATCTGAAACAACTGAAATATTGATTCAATTCAGCTTGGTTCCGAGGCATCCAGATATTCCAATTCAACTGTTCTGAAAGATGTTGAGAGTTAGCCCTCGTTTAAACTGGTTCACATTTTTTTAAAAGCACATATAGATTTAGCTAACTTCAGAGTTTTATTACACAAACACACACACACACACTCTCTTGGACTTTGTTTGTGGGATTTTAGTTTACAGGTCTGCTTACCACAATGGGCTCCTTCAGAGCAGGGAACAAGTCTGTATTGTTCATCTTTATAAGCCCAGCACCAGTATAGACGCTGGCACATACCACTTGCTCAGTAAATATTCACAGAATTAAATTTGCAGAAAAGCCATTCAGGAAGCTTGCTAGCTTTAAGACTCAGGAGGGCTCATTTTGGCAAAGGGAATGCAATTCTTTTTCCCCCATAGATATTTGGCAGGTTTTTCTTTTTTTATCTTCAAATAAATAATGGCTAAACAAGCCACACACCAGGTATTAATAGTAAAGTTTTCACAAACAAAATTAAGATGAAAACTCCAGAAATAGTAGCATTCCAGACTAGAGGAAAGAAAACCAATTTTGGAATCAGGTAAATCTGGAGTTCAAAGACCAGTTCCACCACTTCACAGCTATATAAATATTAATTTGGGTCCAATCACAAATATTACCTCTGAGAGTCAGTTTCCATATCTGAAAAATGGGAATAATATCACCTCACAGAGCTGTCACAAAGCTAATATATGTGAAACACCAAGTCCCTTTGGTGGCAAGTGACTTTTATTTTTTTAACAGCTGGACTGAGGTAAATGAATGATTTTTATTTTCTAAGTCTTTGCCATCCGTTTCCCATTCTCACAGATGGCAGAATCTACAAGGACTGGATTAAGCCTCAAGGCAACTACTTTCTTTACTCCTGCTTTTCAGAAAGTAAACTGACTCAGCCATACGCATAGGCTAAAGTGGCTAAAGTTGCAACTGTCAATGGGTTCAGTGTAATCATTTTAACCGGGACCCTTTCATGCAACTCCAGAGCCTAAGCAAAGCCAAAGAGGCTCTTCAGGTTGTCTGTCCTTCCATTCTGGGGCCTGCTTAAAACAGGCTTGCAGAGAGGGTTGCAATGTCACGCAGGAGTGACCTTTGTGATACACCAAAGATGTAGCATAGAAGCAACAGGCATTCTTTGGAAGCCCAAACTCTAATTAAGTCACTAAATTTTAACACTATTTGGAGACTGAAGGTAGAGAAGAGGAACACTGCTGTTAAAATAACACATAAAACGAATGAGTAGAGAGGAAAGAAAACTTCCAGGTTCATTAATACATGTTTACTTTCCATTCACAAATGGAACAAAACGGAGTAATGATGTGCTGCTAATTCAATCAGCTGAGTACATAGTTCACTTTACTGTGCTGCATACTCTCAATTATATACTAGGGAAAATAAAAACCTAAGTAAATAATTCTCTACATAACTCTAAAGACCATATTTGCTCCATTCACATTTCAGTGAATATCATTCAATATTTCACCTTATTTCAAGGTCCTGTCAAGGAAAAGTTTACATTTTTTCTCTTACATGATTTTCACTGGGAAAGATGAGTCAAAGAAGAACTTTTAACACAGCTGGGTTTCCATTTTCAACAAGGTAGGAACCCACACTTCCTCCCACTCACCCCACCTCCAGAGAATCCACAATATCGTCACTAAAATAGATTGAATAATGCCTTCCATTGGTCAATTACTTTTAACTGAATGCAGTAAAAAGAATCTGCACTTCCAGAACTCATTAACAACTACAATTCTTCCCCTAGTTAAATTTCTGGGAAAAAAACTGGCTCAGCCCACTAAAAAAGCAACTATAATATTCAAGTAAGCATTTTCAGAAAAACAGAGATAAAGATGTACATCATTACAGTAATGCAAATATCCATTGTTTAGCACCAAGAAGAACACATGCAATAACGTCTGCCATCTCAAGAACATTTTTGTTAAAGTTACATTGCATGCAGGAAGCTGCTTTTCCAAAGATAAATACACATTACACTGGAGCCTCACTGAAGAAGCCAATCCCTGGACCCTAAGTGTTTAACCCAGCTTTTTACATAGACTCTTAAGACACCGAATCTTAGAATGAATTCACTCTCTAGTTAATTGTATTAGTGAGGTTCCAGCTCAGTTTTCTAAAGAAAGCAATTTTAATCAATAACCACACCAATGCTACTCTGAATGTTTGCCAATAAGTAAATGAAATGTACAATCCCAATATGCAGAAAATTTTCCTTCTTCCTGGCTCCCTAGCTCCATTTAAAGACTGTAAACATGAATAGAAAGATAACCTTGAGAACAGCAAAGTCACCCATGCCATCAATAATATCCCTCTAACTCATTTCCTGATTTTACAGTGTTTTCCTAAAACAGGGCAGTCTCCACAGGATGCCAGGAATTTAATATTGCTTTTTAAAGATATAACAAACTGTCTGGAATACACAGTGATGAAAAGGGAGTACTGCTACTGAAACCATACTTAATTGAATACATGCTTTCTCTAAACAGAGCTTCCCCAATAAAGCCACAATGTTTTCTGCCTTGTCCCTCTCAGAATCCATCCCAACAAGTGAGGTCAGTCCAGCTGTACTCTCCTGCTAACAGTTTTTGCCTGTGAAACCCCCTCCCCACCCTCCAAAAAAGTTTTACTTTTATCTGTGGAATTCTCTGCCGGCCCGGCCTGGAAGACTGGGTAGACCCTGAGGACAGGTGTCAGATCTGGCCTTGGGAGGTGGCCCAAACTGACAGTCATTGGCAGCATAAAGCTGTGATCTTTATAAACTTCAATTTGAGGCTTTATACCGTTAGTGATTCCCTCCCCACTCCTTTTTTGAAGGAGGGAGAGAAAGCAAGCCAAAAGGATAAGTTTCAAAATAGAAAAATCACCATTTTAATTCTGAAACCCTCCCAACTCAACAAAGAACTATTAAAAGTAGTCAAATGGAAAATGTCAGGGCTTTTTGGGAACATGCACAACTATTAAACATGAGAATCACAACTTCGAGGTGGTAGGGTAGGGGGTGGGGAGATAAAAAGCAGGAGGAGAAAAAGAAGAGCAGAACAGGGCCCAAAGACCCATTGCTCAGAAGGGCCCCTCTTAGTACTAACGCCTCCATGTGGGGCACCCAGGCTGGAGGAAAGCAGAGGGTTACACAGAACATTTAGCAGACTTAACATTGGATTAAACACACTACTGCAAGTTTCAACAAATGTTCATGGCATACGTAAAAAACACATTTACAACAAGAAAGAAGAGAGGCACCTGGAGACATCTGACACTGGGCATGCTCTGCAGGCAACTCAGTGCGCACATGCTCTCTACCAGGTTGGCGCAGCCTAGCCACAAAGACCTTGGCACAGAACACTGCAGGATGACAAAAAGGAAGGAAGAGAAGAAGCAGTTAGAGGCCGCAACAAATCACTCCTTCACACAGGCAACTTGAATGTTAGTTGGGCAGGGACGCACCCTTGGCAGCTTGGAGGTCAGGGACAGACAGCTTACTGCAACGTCGGGAGAGGGCCCACTTTCTGTCCTATGGAAAGGAGGTTTCTGCTACCAACCGCTAATTCCTCAGGCTATAGTGTACAGAATCAAGAAAGAGAGAGAACATTTAAACGAAAACCCACTAAAGAAAACTGTGAAAGTCTCAGTACAAAACAAGATTAGTGGTGAGACTGTGACTATAACTTCATGAAAGTAACAGTTTCTAGTCTGTGTCATGTAATTGTAATTGCCATCATTGCTTAAGAACCTACTATGTGCCAGATACTTTAAATATGTTTTCTAATTCCCGTACCACAGTAAAGAAACTGAGGCTCAGAGGTTAAGTCATTTGCACAAGGATACACAGCAAAGGAAGGGAAAGCCAGAATTTCATTCATTCCACAAGACCATGATGCCTCTATTGTAAAAACTTTGATCATCCAAATTTTTATCACGTGGGTACAGTTTTGCACTTCCCTAAAATAAATCACAGGAGACCTAGAGACATAAAGCACAAGGAACAAGAAAGATGAATGACAGATTGATAGATAAAGGCAATAAAAGGGCCAATTAAAAACACATCTGATTTTCAGTGTCACCCCATCGCTGCCTTCCCTCCCCCCATAAAACTTGAGAACATCATAATTTTCATTTTGGACTTTGTGTGCAAAGGCCATTTGACACACGTATGAACTGAAAGCTTACTTCATTTATCCATTCCCATTCTCTTTTAAAAGCGTGCTGGTTTTTAAGAGAATTAAGAAAAAAAGTAAAATACAAAAATGGACATATGCATTATGGGTGGTACTTAATAACTATTAGATTATTTATGGTATTCAATAAATACTTTTTCAGATCTATGGTCAATTTACTAAAGCAAAATCAATAATCATGCAAAAAAAAACTGAAGGTGGGTGTTTGGGTTCAACCAAAATATTCCAGAGGTCTTAGACCTGACCTCATAAACTTGTTTATCCTAGCTATAATTAGGATGGTCAAACACCCTCATTTTCCTAGGATAGTTCACGTTTAGACTCGTCTCAGCATAACTTTCACTCTCAAAAGTGTTCTGCTTTGGTAGATAAATTCTATGGTCAGCCCAACTATAATAAAACCAAAAACAGCTTTGCTTGAAATCAGATAGACCTAGGTTCCTATCCAGCATCTGTCACTTTCTAGTTACATCTCATCTATAATCTAACTAGATAATTGAGATCATTTAGAAAAGGCTCTAAAGAATACAAAACCAAATCAAACGACATTTAAAAATTGAGCAGCTTTTTGGTAACGACGAAATGCCACGCATTTTCAATGTGTGCCTTTATTCAAAGCTTACCACAGCCAGTATAGAAGAGTATCAGTGATATTCCAACCATACATATTTTGTCACTTGAATACTTTCAGAGTGCCACAAAAGATGCTAAATAAATATTTCTACAATATAATGAAAGCAGCTGCCATTTATCAAGCTCTTGTTATATGCTAGAGAGCTGACAGAGTAAACCCCGGCAAATATCCATTTGACAGATGAGGAAACCAAGGATCGGGAAAGGAGAGCTTGATTTGTTCAAATAACAACTTGTTCAAGGTGCAAGGGAGCAAGGGCTAACTGAGGACAGAATTAGGACTAGAATTTACTCCTGTCTGACTCTAAGCAAACTTGTTTTCTTTCCACTACAACAAACTCTCTCTGTCCAGAGATATCTAGAAAATGCTTATTCAAAGAATGCTTACATTAGCATGTATCAGAAGCAGATGGGCAACAAAAAGGTGCAGACACATTATAGTTATATATAGATTATTTAATTTAAATAAACTCCCAACATCCTCATAATTCAATTGAAATTTTTTTTGGAATCTTTGTGGTTATCCAAATCACAGAATCACTCAGATCTGAGAATAGACTTTAAGGATTACACCTGCAATTAGCAACTAATACCAAATTAAAACCAAACCGCATCTACAAATCAATTTTCATTTATTCAGTACAAACAGTGAGATTCCTTCTGCAAGGTTTAATATGTATTTGTGTCAAAGAGTAAAAACCATAAATGCATAAGGTACTGTACCCTGATTAGATTCTGCTAACAACTTCAGATCTAAAACTCAAAAAAAATTTATTTTCAATAAATCAAAGAATCATAGACTGTGGGAACTGGAAGACCACTTAGACCAATCTCCTGCCCCCGATTTTAGAATTGAAGAAACCAAAGCCCAAAGAAGAAAAATAATGATCTTCCCAAGGTTTCCTACCATCTTATGATCTAATCAACACTTATAAAAATATGCAAGACAATTAACATAAAGAAAATTTTATGAAAATTTAATTTCAAAATATTAACCATTTATTATAAGTATTCAAAGCTTGATATTGAACTTGTATATTCAGGAAAAGATTTTTAAACGACCCTCTGAAGGTCTAATTTCCAAGGATTTATCTTTTATAACATCCATGAAGATGCTGTGGGGTGTGGAGAATGATGCCAGCACTTATCTAAGGTATTAGAACTGCCAGACCTTCACTCCTTGAAGCTAAGTGACCAACCACATTGCTGAAAATTAGTCTTTACTCAACACAAAAAACTCCAGGAAATACGCTGACCTTTTAGTAAGGAACTCTGTATCTAGTGGTCTAAACAAGGTTCTTCTTAGGTCTAATGGACCAAGAGAATATTGATCTAATTTGAAAATATCAGATAAAAATAAAAGTTCCACATTTATCAACCTAAGAGCACAAAATGCAGCTAGGACCACAGCAGGAATTGATTCCTGAAGCTTCTAATTTTAAAATCTAGGGACCTGGTTGGAATCCCATGTTGACTATTGTGGAATAACCATTATCCATCATTCTTGAACTGAATAAGGCAAAAATTTCTTTATATTAGCTATATTTACAGTATAGACTATTGCTTCTCTCTTTTTTTTTTTTTTTTTAAGTTAATAGTGGTCTATCTTTAAACTTCTGGAATGTTACCTCACTGTTAAAATATCTCTGAAGAACATACCCTGATACCATGGGTATTTACCAATTTTAACAGATACTTATTGACCAACTTATTAAGCTAACAACAATACAAACTAAGTTTCTTTCCTCTTGCGATTTCAGCCTCTAGCTCAAGAGAAACCCAGGGGGATCACAATGGGAATACCTCAGAGAGGCCTTTCAGGAATAGAAAACTCCCAAGAAACGTTTGCTTTAATTTCACATTTAGCTACTTGCAATGACCAGTATTCTAATTTAGGACTGTTCAAAGAGAACAGGAAACAATTCACACAGGGTTCTAATATTAACAGCAAATACTCAATTAGATTGATTATATTTGTAAGTTCCATAGCCAAAGAAAATAACATTAGTTAAGGAAACTGATAGTGTTTATTAATTTTGTCATAACCAGTGATCAATCAAAAACCAAAATCAGGGCCACCATGCAGAAACACCGTAAGTCAGTAAAGACAAGAAGAATAATAGATTTTGCCATTTTTCAAAAGCAAAAATTATTAAAAGAGGTAGGAGAGGAATGTCCTAGGCTCTCTTCCTATTGCCATAGGAACCGCAAACCAAAAAGAAAAAGTGGTTGCAGGCACCTTGTCTTCTGATTGGCTGGCTTGAAGAAGAACTCACAAAAGCTAACTTTGGTCCGGTTCTGGATGGGACTGTTTTGAATATCCTGCCCTGATTCCTTCTCAAAGAAGCAATTCTTTTAAAAGCTACCGAAAGAGGTATTTTATGTTAATCCTCTCTCTAATGCCACATTCAGAAATCTGCCTTATTACAGGTTTTCTATAAATCCTCCCAAGTTTTTTCATTAAGCCACTTCCCACAGGATCATTATCAGCCTCTTCTAACTCCTATCATCATGCGTGAGATAACCAACTTGAGTGGCTTAAATACTATTCCATTCAGCAAAAACTTTATCTGAACTTATATCTATCTGCAGACAGAAAAGCACTTAAGATATTCTCTCTCACCTCTAGGAGCTCATAAGCAGGCATCTTGAGAATGTGCAGTGTAAATACACGCGCGTCCGCACGCGCGCGCACACACACACAAATAGACTTAACCACCCAAAGGAGGAGGATGCCTGAACTAAGCCATGAGTAGGAGGCAGCCAGAGAAAAGAAGAGAAAGACATTCCAGGCAGAATAAATAGCATAAGCAAAGCCACAGAGCTAAGAAATGGCACATCTTATGCAAGGATCTGCAATTAATTTAACATTACTAAAGTATGTAAGTGTGAGATGAGGAAAGCTTAGAGATAGGGAGGGGTCAAATCACAGAGGCCTCTCCTTATCATTCTATCAAACTTGGGACTTCGTCCTGCAGGACAATGGCTCTTAAACCATGTGCTATAGCTCACTGGTAAAGAGCCAATCCTTCCCAGATGTGCAGTCCAATTTTTTATCAATAGGTACAAGATTTTTTTCCTACAACTCAGCATACATGCTATTTCAACAATATCTGTCGGAGGAATAGAAGTGTCATGCAACGCACTGGTGGGGGTAAGGTTTTTAGACTAAGCGGTAGAGGATAAAGCATAATATCAAGCCAAAGCCAAGCCAATTCAAGCCAGCATCAAAGAAAGATTCTATGTTTTCCAGAACATTTGGGGAACATTTGCCACATGCAAAATAGAGGGAAGTCTGCTCAACAGCAACCCAACGAAAGAGAACATAAACAGTACAAAAAACATGTATGTGTTTTTATAGATACTGTGAAATAACAGTGTTTTGAATCTTTTAATTCCTTCCAGTGAGGCATCAAAAACTTTAATATTCAAACCACTGCTAGAGGCAATGAGACAACTATTAAACTATTTAAGCAGAGGAATAACCCTTGGCAGCTGGAGTGAAGCATGATTTGCAGAGAAGTGAGAAAGATG